AAGAGGGTTCAGTTTTATTTCAGTAATCAAAAGATACGAATAAATTAGCTTGGCTTTAGAATAAGTCATTAAATCAAGTCTCAAGTCTAATAGGTTCGAAGCTGTGAAAAATATTTATCTAGCAAAGACGCTTAGCCGAAGATTTCTAGTTAAAAAATATTTCAGCATGTTGATTTCTACGCATTTTCATGCACTGATTCTTACACATACGTACATGAATTATGTTCTCGTTGTGATGAGGGCCAAAAAATCTGCTTACTATCGATGATGGTGCCATCAGTCGGCTGTTGTGGAATAGCTTAGTCATAGCTCAAAAAACGCGCGTGCTCAGTCATGACGGAGCGGTCTAACATAGAGTAATTGGGGAGTAGTACGGTGGTAAACTTCGCGTGCGAAGTAACTCTTTTTGAAGCTTGAAGCACCTGTCATTGAATTGATTGGTGCGGAGCGATATACTTGGAATTTGGACTATCCATGCAACTGCATCTCGTTGTCTCTATATTACGATGAATAGGACTACTGATACATTGACCACTAGAATAGTGGTCAATGTATCATAAACACGTGAAATATTGTCATAATGTACAATGGTAATTCACGGAAGAGATATCCAAGTTGCTCGCCCTGCATTAAATGTGACCTGCTTGCTAAGTAGTATCAGAGTCACAGTAATTATCTGCATTGTATATGAAGTAAATATGAAGTAACTGCCCCCAACATATGATCAGTTAACTGGAATAAGAGTAATAGATATACTCAGAGTATCTGCAATATCCAGAGTATCTGCGATATCCAGAGCATCTACGATACCCAGAGTATCTGCGATACCCAGAGTATCTGCGATATCCAGAGTACCTGCGATACCCAGAGTATCTGCGATACCCAGAGTATCTACGATATCCAGAGTATCTGCGATACCCAGAGTACCTGCGATACCCAGAGTATCAGCGATACCCAGAGTATCTGCGATACCCAGAGTATCTGCGATACCCAGAGTATCTACGATACCCAGAGTATCTACGATACCCAGAGTATCTACGATACCCAGAGTATCTACGA